GTGCAATGACAATAAAGTTGAATTCTATTCTATTCTATTCTATTCTAAGATGGCCAATTTCTAAATGGCCACCATGGTCACCACCCATCTTGAGGAGTTTGCCCCCTCACATAATATGCCGCAAACAGGACTTTAATATCACCAACCATTCCCATGTTATTACGGTGTATCCATATAAATGGCCCATCCTGTAGAAGAATCCTTGTCAATATTTCCCTCACAGTATATGTTAGCATGAGTACCTCCAATAATGATTCTTCCAGCTGAGCCAGCTGTATCTTCTTGTCTTCCTCTTGTTGTAGTAGCCTTGTTTTCTCAGTCTCCAGCTCTGGCTTTTCTTGCTGGATGGTCAAGGCTAGCAACTAACATACAGACACACAAATAAAGAGCCAGTGGGCACACTGTGTGGCCACATCAAGTATATATCCCATGTATTTGTGTTATTAACTTTAAAGTTATTATTGCTCAATAGGTACATTTTAAATTACTGGCATTGTACATTTTATATGCATTTGTATTTGTGTGCTGGTTGAATGGGTTACCTGTCCCCGCAAGCCTGCCCTGGTTGTTGTGAAGTTGACCTCAGTAACCACTGAGACGGCATCAGGAGGGATGAAGGGACTGGGATTCCGTGTTGCCAGGAAGAGACGGAAGTCCTCATTGTAATCAATAACCTTGTCTCCTATCTGGACCACATATCTAGGACCTGCACATGTGCAAATGTGTCTCTTAACAAGGTACCTTGTATCACATCAACTTTTAACTTTATCCTACCTTCCGTCCTTTTATTTTTCTCCCTCTACTTTCTTCCCCTTCTGTCGTCTAGATGTCCGCAGTGCAGAACTGTCAATTTTTTGTCTCAGCACTTTTTTTCTTTCTTGTTCAACACTACTTTTAAGTGGATAACTTGCCCTTTCGCATACTGTCTCTGCCCCCGCTCTTTCCAATTCTGCTTCAAATAGCGAACCGCCTCTCCCTGGATGATTCAGAGCCTTATGAATCACACATCATTTTTACAGGTATGTTTTCAACCTCTGTTTTTTATATATGTGATTGGAATGCAATTACCTAAACTAAAGTATTACTGGCTATAGAAGACGCTTCAAAACCAGTCGTCTATAAATACACGCTGTATTTGGGGGCTTTTATTTGTCCAATTTTGTAAGACAATTTCAAAGAGTGTTCATCCATAAAATGGAATGACCAAAGGACTGCACTGCATGTTTTTTTCTATGGACAATTTTAATATCCAACAGCTGCAAAGTATTTGAGCTGTCTGAAATATTAAGTGGATAAAATAACTACCATTTTGAGATTTTGAGACTATTAATTGGTGATATTTTTACTACATAGAATTCGTTAGGCTTAAACTGAAGAAAATGGGTGGATGGATGGATTTTAATAACATATTATGTACATACAGGCTAGTCCTTGTGTAAAATAAGAGATATTTATGTCTAGTGCATGCATGTTTCTCATGTGTGAGATTTGCATAAACCTGTGGACACTAAATGAGACAACACCAGGGTTCTACAGCATCTTATTCTCATGCATACAGAAAAAACCCTCAAAACTGAAAAGTCTAATGTGCTCTTTCTCTTTGCTGTTTCTCTTGCCTTTCTAAAAAGGCAAGGAACAAAGACTAGGTAATTCAAGGAAAATCAACGAGTGAGCTCCTACTGAGAAACTACCACACTTTACCTGAAAGGTCCATTTCTGTGATTGTACAAATAATGAGAAGTGACACACGGAAAGCAATTACTTCTTATGTACCACAGTGTGATAATGCAGCAAACCTGTTTTCTTTTTTCACTTATTGTTATTTATCCACCGTCTCCTTCGTTCACACTTTTCTTTTTCATTTGTAATGCTCACCCACAGTATGTTCATTAATTCTTTCAAATATAACTAACACTCAAAATAATGGACATGGTACAAAGTTTCACAGGCGTTTGTTGAAAAAAAAAGTAAGTCAGGAGCAAGTTATTAATATGTTATTAATATCACTGACATTAAGACTCACTATCAAAATGTAAGGCTTGAGACACTAATTTGAATCTATTGGCTTTCAATCATTATCTACAGTTTGGTAAAAAAATAAAGTACACACTCTTTAAATTCTAAGGTTTTATGTATCGGGACATAGTAAAAACAATCTGATCCTTAGCAGGTTTTACAACTGGCAACATACAAATTTAAACAAACTACAACTGCTTCCACAGGAATTGAGAGCGTGAGTACCGACCACTTCAATCAAATTCCCTTGATTAGCTGATCATCAGCAAGTGTGAGCATCTCTATAAAAGCTGAAGCTCTGGCACTTTGCAGGTCTGGTGAATTCAGGTCTGTTAACACAATGGCAGGAGTAAATCTTCAGCAATGGTCTTAGAGAAGCAACAGCTGCTGTGCAATAATGTGGGAAGGGTTATTCTTGTGATTTCTTTAAGTTTTCAACATGATCCCACACTGCTTCAACAATGTTGAGGTTTGGGCCCTGGTGAAGCTAGTCCACGACTGGTAGTGATCCACTCTGTGTTTTTGTATCCAGGGGGATCAAGATCTGACGGTACTTTTCTATGTTTGTAAATCCATCAGCTTTGATAAGATCCACAACACCACTGGCTGAAATTCAGCCCCAAACCATGACAGAGCCTCCACCGTGTTTTATAGAGCTGTTACCACTGATTTCTGTCCAGCTCTTGAGTAATTCAGCATAGCTCATCCTTTTCTCCCCTTTTGCCTTCCTTGAGAATGGCTTCTTAATTGCCACCGTTCCAATGAGACCATTTCTGCTGATGCTTCAGTGAACAGTAGATGAATTGAGTGAAGGGCCAGATGCATCTCTGAGGTCCTGTGTCAGGTCTTTGCTGGATACTTTTTTCTATTTCTTGATGACATGACTTTATGATACTGCTCATCTGCTGTAGGCTGTTTTTTTAAAGCCTGCCACTTCATCTTTTGTGATCAGCTTTGTAGTTTCCTCAAATTGTTTAAGATATATACGCCAAGTTTTCAGCAAATAGCTCTGCAATAATCACCTTTTTAGCAAAAAAATATTATTTTTTATGCCTGTAAAACTATTTTATCTTTTCCATTTTTCATAGATTAATTTCATAAAGACAGACATAGACATTTCATAAAGAAATGTAAACAAATTATGTGTTTTTGCATCAGGCTTCTAATTGGTTCTTTATCAAGTCATCTGTAAACGATTCACAGGTCAGTGTTAAGCAACCGAACAACAATGGTAAGATAGAAGGCCTAAAAATGAGTGGAAAAAAAAACATGTCCAAAACTAAAACACTGAAGACCAATTAAAACATATTAGAAGTCTAGAAACTTTGAAGTAAATTATAGAGAAATGAGGGGTGCTTCTGCATTTTGGCTGAGTTCTTTTAACTTTCCTTTTACTGTGACTGTATTATGGAAAGGTCTTGTCTGAATATAAAATAAAACATGAATAGTCAATGTTTAACCATTTGATTTACTTAATATTTTACAGAGTAAGGCTTTTGAGAGTGAGAAGAAGTACTGTGATGGCCCAATGCACTAGTCAGGATTGGTTAATTAAACTTTGAGGCAATATCCCTCAGAATGGGATTTCACTACGCTGCAGAAAAGTAGCCCCTGGATAGAGGTGAGTAGTCAGCAACCTGAGGTTGCTTAAGCCTCTGAATTATGCCCAAAAGAGTTCTTCAGCCCAACTTTGTATGAAATTGGTGTTTGTGCTTGTGAGAATGTGTGAGTACCCTGTGCTATTAGGTCTCTCCTCAGCAGCGGATAGAGCACAGGTTCAACTCCATCCATCTCTTGGATGATAAGGGTTTTTCCAAATCTGACTGCCAGCTCTAGGGATGTCATGAAGTTATTATCCTATAGAGAGAAGGCACACAGACACCCAGTACTAAGAGATTACATTAAATTCTAGAGGTGGATGGTAACACAGTTCTCTCCTGTATCTGGTGGATGGAAGAGTAATTATAGTTGTAGTACCATTGCGATTAAAAAAAGAAAAAAAAGAAAAAAATTTACAGTTGGAAGGTGAATAAATCTTATATTTTCTTTCTAAACAAAGCATTTACATCTAGAGCATCTAGAGAGTTTTAACAAGTTATTAAGCAAAAACCAAACAATTTAAATACATATACAAAAAAGAAATAATTACATGAGTGTTTTCAGTGTACCTGATGACACTAATGCAGTAATTAATATGTAACAGTTAAGTGATAAGCAATGGACACCACTGTTAATTAATGTAATCATCATAATTTCTTGCTAAAATCATTACCTGGACCAATCAAAGTATGGTTAAGGCTTGCTTCTAAATGATTAAGATATTCTAGTAGAGTAGAGAAACTTGGATTCGTTAGACAAGAAGAAACTGATCGGTCAAGAATGTCTAACGGAAAACTTAGAAAAAGAAGAAAGAACGGGTTAGAATGAGGGTTAACTGATTTAAACAAAGCACAGGATGTGCACAGGATTTTGCAAAATCTAACAGATTAATGACCCTCCATTCCACGACACATGTTACTGATTGTGTGTTGTTACCTGCTGGTTGATAACCTCTAGTCTGTGCTGTTTGAGATGTGTACATAGCCACTCTGTAGCTCGGGACGATGGGTCGATCAGGAATGGACACGCAACACTCTGAGTCAGAAATGAGGAGAAAGCAGGACATTTCAGCTGAAGTTGTTTTAGGATAGTTTTACTTATAAAGCACACAACTCACCTAGAAGAATGATGTGCACTGCATGTGTGTATGCATATGGTTTAACCCCGTAACAGTGCTATCATACTTACCATTCAATACCACCTTCCTATATCAGGCACAGGAGTCTTTCTCTCGCCGTCTTTCTTACTCTCTCTCACATACACACCAATGATTACAGTTTGTTTATACAGTGAAAGCTGAAACCAGTGTTTTTGAAACCTCTAACAGGATAGGGTCCACTGTTCTTGTACCAGCTGAAGTGTGCAGCAATATAAAAAGATCTCTAATGCCTTTAGAAAAAAAATGGTTGTGAATGCTCATGAGCCTGACAAATCAGTTGTGAGGCAAATCATCTACAAGTCTTGTACATGGAACCACTGACAATTTGCCCACAAGTAGTTACGGCACATTCAGCGAGAGAGCAGACCATTTGATGTCTCCAAGAACCCCCAAAATTTAACATGATCTATGTCATTTTTGCGAGAGTGTATGCGTACACATACTCCCTAGACACTTTATTGGGTACACCTGTCCATCTGCTCCTTAATGCAAATTTCTAACCACATGGCACGAACTCAATGTGCCATGTCAGAAAGGTCAAATAATCTCAAACTGTCTCATTGTTATGTTTCTTGAACATAACAATGAGTTCACATCACTGAAATGGACTCCACAGTCACCATCCCAGTCAAATAGTGCATGTCTGGGATGTGCGAGATCTATGCCACGAAGAATTAAGACAGTTCTGAAGGCAAAAGGTGTCCAACCTGGTACTCTCTAGGTGTACCTAATAAAGTGACAGCACATCTCTTTCTCACTAGTTTCAAGGCAAACATAAAAGCAAAAGAGAAACAGAGAGACAAAGAAACACTAAATAAATAAACTAGCTATGTAGGAAACAGCTACGAGGATGAATGATGGACTTCTTACCTTCAACTTGAGTGCATTGATCTGGTGGTGGCGATGATAAAAACAACACACAAACACGATACAACCAAATGGAGCACAGACGTATGGCAACAAGGACACAACTTTCGGTACAGCTAGACTTGTTTTATCATGTTAATGCTGGGTCTGTATTGTACTTTGATGTCTTTTTAAATAAATATTTTATACACTGATGTGAAATAAGCAAGCCAATGCATAAATAGTATTAATAACATCCTTCTATAAAGTAGGCAAAAAGAGACTGAAATTAGTGTTTACATTTAGTAAATCCCTGTGTCATGTTGTAGATGCAGATTTGATATATTAGTCTAACCTGCAGTATAACCAGTGCATTCTCCATTGAGAGATCATCTGATGGCAGCCCTTGACTCTTCCAGATCAACTGTTCACTCTCCGAGCACAGGAATGATCGCAAGTCAAACTCTGAAACAAGCAACAAAAAGGCTTGTGTCTTTATTTGTATTTATTGTCACCATACCTCAGTTTAAATATCACTGAGATAAAAATTAGTGCTTTTCGTGTACAATTTCAATACATGCATATTAACGTAAGAGGAGATCAGTTACTGGGGTATTGATTATTGATGTAGTATCATATCATTAAAAAACACAATTAAAGTTACAAAACAGGATTATCAAGTACTGTGATGCTTTCTGAGCCTGGGATTAAAACATAACATCATTATAAATTGCAAAATTACCATTTATTTAGTTAAATGGCAAACAAGCTCTTCGAGAAGACCCTGAAGCTGTAACGTCTGTATGTTCCATGTTGTAACAGCAGAGTCCGTTATGTTGTGTGTGGGCAGCGGTGTCTGAGTAGGCTGCTTGGGACAGGACTTGGCATATGCTGTTGCTAGTGTGGTAAAAGAACTAGTAATATATTTACTCTGTAGTCCAGAGTGAGCCATCCACGAGTCCAGACACTGTCGTCTACGGTCTTCAGAAGCTGCAGACAGGTAGGTGATGAAGGCTGCCGCAAGCAAGGCTCTAACAGGGAGCGTATCCAACTCATTCTTTATCTCTGACATCTAGGACAAAATACAGGTAGGTGAACAAAGTATAAAAACTAATCACATTAGAGTGACGGGCAGTATCAGGAGAAAAGGCGTGGATGTGAGAAAAGAAGGTGGCGCAAAGAGAGAACTGAAGTTGGTACATTGCTCATATGATGCTAATATGGCCCAGTGCAAAACATGTTTGGTTTTTGTTTGTTTTTTTTTTCCTAATGACTCTTTAATACTAAACACAGACATAAATACCAACCCACAAGTGCAGGACCTGGAACACACTTGCTATTCTGCACCGATTTTACTGACACAGCTGTAAAGACTTCCAGGTTCATCAGGATTCCTTTGAGGTATTTTAATAGCATGTCAGGGGAACACGGGCACACCCGCACATCTCTGTAAAATACTTAAACATCAGGCTTAATTGCTAACCCTTTTCCCCACTTATATCCACATCTGAGGTTGCAAGTTTTCATGACCTTGAGATCTCTAGTCTACTGCATTAATACATCCTACTTAAAAACTTGCATCTGTTTCACTTACGCTGTAGCTCTGTACACCTGACTCATTGGTTTTCCCTTCCTGAGAAACACTAAAACAGCTTAGAAGTATTGATGTATAGTGACCTACAGCTACTGTACAGCGTTGAAGTGAGTGTATGTGTGTACACGTGAGAGTATATGGTAATACGTGAGTGGAGAGCAAACTGGCTCTCTGGTGTAGTCCTTGAGGGAGGCGGTGGGACTGAGGGTGTGTGTACGAGCGAGCGTGTCAGGAAGAGATTGAGTGTTTTAATTAAGGTGCAGACAGATGCTGTGGAGAGGAGTAAAAACAGCCAGAAGGGACCCAAGACAGCGGGATCCATCCCCCCTGTCATACACACACACACACCCACGAGCTCTTAGACACTCACGGCTCCTGTTGCTCTTACATGGTAAATGAGCCTCTTTTTGAGTAAATGTGTATAACCTCCCCCACCAATACATATATCATCACACCGATACATCAAACTACCTGTGCATTCCAGCGTGTGTGTTCTCCGTCCAGTTGTGATATAAGCTGCTGGGCAGCAGTGATCGTGTCCTGAGCTTTTGACACATCGGCCTCCAACTTAGCTGCCTCTGCAGTATGACACTGAAACCTGCAGAGAAAGTAAGGAGAAAGAAAAGCCAACCGAAAGCAGATGTAATGTAATATTTACCCAAGACGATAAGATGCATTGTAAATATAACAGGCGAGACTTTCTCTATGACAAGCAAGTAGATTCATATAGAAAATGAGTGTAGTGAAAGTAGGACATCTTTCAGTTATAAGATGATTGTATTGTATGATTGAACATGGATGAGGAGGAGGAAAACTGAAGACTAAAGAGGACAGAGCGCAGGGAGCTCAGTGACACTAATGTAAAGTGTGAAGTTCGACCCTTTGTTGTGCTCTGATGTCGTAAATACTGAGGCTGGTAAATTTCTGCCCATGTTTGTTGCTGTAGTTGTTAATTTTTAGGTGGCTCATCATCGCATCAACAAATCAACAGTTCAAGATTAAAAGAAACCACAACCCTAATCTCAATTTAAGACAACGGCACGCAAAAACCACAAGCAAAACACAAACTACACAGTATAGAAGGATTAGTTGGTGAAGGAAGGATGCATACTTCTCTTTCAACTCATTGACTTTGGCTCCAACAGTGCTGAGCTGGTCTTCTAGTTTATTCTTCCTACTCTCAGTCTTCCTCAGGTTTCTGGACACATACAACACACGCATTGATTTATTGACTTACTTTATGTATCATTTATTTCATGTGTAGCGTCGAGAAACTGAGCGTGAGTTAGAGTTGAGTAGAATTAGATGAAGTCAGTGATCACAAGTTTGTTTACAAGAATACAATCTAGATCAAAATTACTTCACAAAACTTAGCAACTTTTGAATTTTTTTAATCAAGAACTTCAACTTTGTTGGTTTTTGTTTTGTTTAAACATACAGCGTTTTACAGGTTGAAAGCATTTTCGGTCTTTTATAGAGTTGTGTTTGTGTGTTTTCCTACTCCAAAAGTCCAGCCTGTTCTCTTTCCAGTGGCTCTATCCTCTCTAGGACGCGGGAGTATTGGACATTGGCTTTGACCCAGGCAGCCAGAGGAGCAGCTGCTGCACTTGCACGCTTTGCATTCTGAATGAAACAACAGTAGCATAACAAATCAGTGAAACAGCCACAATAACTTCTTTAGAAGACAAACACACTAACAAACCAACAACAACAACAAAAAAAACAATCAAGCTGTAATAACAACCTCCAACAGTACATCTAATTCTGATTCTGCTACTATTGTAGGCAGACCTTAGGGTCAAACGAAGCCCTGTTCCTGTTGAGTAGCTCTTCCACACTCTGGCGAATCTCAGGAGTGATGTTCCTGGCTTCAAATGTAGCTATGTCCTCCCTCACACCACGTTTAGCTAGAAAGCTAGAGAAGAGAGGAGTTTTCATGTGTGAGTTCAACATTAAAGCCAAACACAGATGAAATCATCAGAAAGAGATAAAATTAACCCATAAAGCAGATAGTTTAATGTTAATTCAAGCCTAAAATATGGGCCTTTTTTTCCTTAATTAAGCATGAACAATTGCCCCCCCACCCCCAGCACCACCCCGCCCAAATATACGCACACAACCTACACTCGCTCATTAGCAGTGCAGAAAGGCTTTGTTTATCCTTCCCTTTTCTTCCTTGTTTCCCACCCATTCTCTAACACCTCATCACTTCCTAATGCCTCTTTTTGCTAACCCGAGAGGTGTCGAAGATCCTCATCAATTGAATTACTCCCAACAGGGTAACTCTTCATCTTCCTATCCATCCCTTTACACGTTCTTCCTATCTCTTTTCTCTCACCTCTTCATGCTGACCCAGGAGGTGTCAAAGATGCCCATCAGCCTCAGTACCCCCTCAAGGATGTCTCTGATGACATCGGGAGGCATGCGGAGGGAGCGGATCTCAGACAGCGCTTCAGGCTTGATGTTTCCAACTGCACGCTTTGCTTCATCTACCAAAGGCTAGAGGGCAGCAGGGGAAAAGGCAGCAAGAGATGCACAAGTACGTGAAGGATAAGCACAATGGGGATTGCAAGCCTTGAAAAGGGGGGATGTTTTCTCGTAACTTACAGAAATGGGCATGCTCACAAAAACAGGCACCCGACCACTTACCTGTACTTCTTTCAGCTCGTCGTCGATTTTGGCTTTTCTCTCTTCAATCTTGGACACTTCTTGAGCCATTTTCCCTTTCAATTTTTCCATCTCTGCCTTCTGGTCACTGGCATTCTGGAAAATCCAAAAAATAAAGAAAATGTTCAGTACACAAGATTAAAAAACAGGCTTTTAGCATGTACTGAAGTTAGGGGAAAAAAGGCTTAATCAGGATTGAAAGTAAGCAGCTGAATATATGATTTCTATATAATCATCTGTATTTTATTTTACATCTATAGGATTTTTTTTTAGGAATATTGTGACACTGATGATGAAAAAGCAGTGAGGACAAATGTTTGGCTGCATCATTTTCCAACAGGTCCTCTCTCTGACCTCTTCAAACCTGAAAATTTTATCACATCACATTTTCATCTAAAGCTAATCCCAACATTGGCTGTTTTCCATCCCTATAATTCTTCCATAGTCAAGGCTCCAGGTCTTGCTATATGCCACATATATTCCCCTTTTCTGCTCCAAATCTTATTTTCCTTCTTCCTTAACGGCTCTCTTAATATTTCCATCTTTGCCAAGCCTCAGTCAGTCTTCCATCTATTTTGTTTACGCTCTTCCCATCGTTGTTCCAGTGTTCCTCGCTTCTCTCCCTGCTGTCGCCATCCCCACAGGCGACATAGCTACTACAGACCAAAGGGATGAGTCTAGTTCTTAATTATCACTCTGCAAAACTGACTCCTCTGACAGTTATTTCTTTTTCTTTCTTATTTTTGTTTCTCTTCTCCTTTCTTCCTCCCTCCCTCTAACTCAACAAACCCAATCCCCACAGAGTGAAAGATAGAAGGATATCATAACTAATGAACAAGGTTCATCTCCTTTTCCCCCTCCACACATCTATCCATCCAACCATCCATCCTCGAGACAGACCCAGCAGGAGGAAATGGAAATGGGGGTATCAGGAAATGAGAATGAAAGGAAAGTCACAAAACAAACAAATACACATACGTACACAAACTAAATAAATAGTGTCTTCACAGCAGGGAGGATATTGCCATGGGAAAGGCAGAAAGTTTCTTGTATAATGCAATGCAGATGAAAAAGAAAGCCAGAGAAGAGAGGAGAGGAGAGGAGAGGAGAGGAGTTGGATAGATAGACATAGAATAGATATAAGTTAGAAAAGACATGAAACCCTGCAGGACTACTGTCCTGAGCCACACACGTATACCCACATGCACCCATCCACACATCCCAATACACAGTCACTAGCGGACAATGCACCAGCAGCACAGACATACACACCTGCATGGAGGTTGTGATTTCCTGCAGGGCAGAATCTGCCTCCTGTTGTTTAGTCCTCAGCAGTTCGCTCTGCTCTGCAGCCCGCCTCTTTAGTTCATCAACCAATGTTTTAGCTTCATTCAGCTTAGAAACGCCTGCCTGTAGACATAACATGTATTACTTTACAAGTAATGTCAAACTTGTTTCCTCTTAAAGATTCAATGGAATTTGTGTGTGCAATGTTTACCAACAACATTTACGGTTGCTTTGTAATTGTACTTTCTCATATCAGTGTGTAAAACTGCACTAAAACTTTAAATAAAATACTACACAGGATGAATGCTGGGCCCAAGCTCATCTATCAGGGCTGGATACGGTTCCAAAAACCAAATAACTTCTCTAATCTATGTCTTTTATTTGCTGTGTGTCGTTTTCACCGTAAGGCTCTTTTAAAACTCTTATCGTCACTAAAAGTCAAATCAAGAGCTATTTTATGTGTAGATCTATCGATTTTCAAGTCTAGGATAAACAATTCTCATCAGTTGTTCCGAAAATAAGTTGCTTCTTACCGAAGTAGTAAAAGTCATACTACTTATAATTCTGTATCACAGGGTAGATTTGCAATTTTACCTGCAGATGCTGCTGTCTTGTAGTAAGCTGCTTTTGCTTCCGACTGTATAATGCGGTGTAAACATGCAGAAAGGCCATGTACTTGCTCGGTGTTGCACCGTGTTCGCGACATGACTCATGGACCATCAAGAACAATCGGCACAGATCCCCCTGCCCAGACCCTCCTGAGAGTCACAGGTGAAAAAAAAGATGCACAAAGAGAAAAAGTTGATATAAAGTCATTCTGATTGCACTAAAAATATAGAGCCATTAAATATGTCTAAGTGTTATAAGCTTATGATACTACTACTATTAATAAAATAAGATAATTCATCTTAATTTATCGCATGGTAGTGACTAAATGGAAATATGAGTAAAATAAAATAAACAAATAAATAAATAATAATAACAATAATAATAATACTAATAATAACAATAAAAGCCTTTATGGTAGACTGGTCAGATGGAAGCCCCTCCTCAGTAAGAGGTTAGCCCACCTGGAGTTTGCCTGAAAGACTCTCAGACCATAGAAACAAAACTCTCTGGTCTGACGAAACAAAGATTGAACTCTTTGGCCTGAATGCAGAGTCTCATGTCTGAAGGGAATCAGACACCGAAACCCGACTGAACATCTCTGGAGAGATCTGAAAATGGCTGTGCATCGACACACCCTCCCTATCCACCTGATGGAGCTTGAGAGGTTCTGCAACAAAGAACGGGAAAAACTGCCCAAAAATAGATGCGCCAGCTTATAGCATCATACTCAAAAAGACTTGATTGCTGCCAAAGGTGCTTCAACAAAGTGTTGCGCGGTCTGTGAGTACTATTACACTGTAGATAAATAGATAATCAGTCCCATATTTATTTTCTATTTATTTGTTTAAACAACATTGACCAGTTCTATATTTTACGTTTTTCAATGTGATTAATCATGCCAACAGCATGAACAACTATAAAATGGCTCAAATGCACTTTGTCATCACTCCTATTTCAAAGTCACTCACATTGTGAAGGTGATAGCTTCGCGTGTACACAATTCTGCATCGGCATATTTATCAGCTATCTGACAACATTTTAAGACCAGAGATTATCAATCATTCGTGAACTGTGACTTGATGTTCATGTGCTTACCTGAGCTTTTCCTCTTGCTGCCCTTTTCTCTTTCGGTCTCCTCCCCTCCCTGCTCAGTTTTTGCCAACAACAGCTCGGGTATCTGACAAGCAACACGTTTAGGTTTACCAGATTTGCAAATGTGACTATAAAAGAACTGATGTGTGCACAAATATGACCGCAACACCTTGATTTTTAAAAATAACTTGTAAAGTAAGAAAAAAAAGTTTTCAATTTTAAAATTCCAACAATGAGAGAAAAACAATTCATTATTTAGGGCTGCTGTATTAGGTCAACAGACATTAGTAGAGCAGAATTACACAGGTCTGTATTTAAAGGTTGGAAGGAATGTGCATTGCTAATCTTATACGCAACACTTAGTGTGAGCTTTATTAACAACTGATGATTTAATGCCCATTTTGATCTTGCTGTTCTGATATTAACCTTTTTCATGCTGCTTTCAGACCATCCTTCCATCCACTGGACAGAGCACTTGCGGTAAAAAGCTGGGTTGCTCTCACAGTTGATGGTGAAGTTAGAGTTGGAGGAGTCCATGATCAGAACAATGTGGAGGTTCTGCTGGATTCCTGAGTGGGATGTGAGACAGTGGTGAAGGGAATTCATCAGGAAACTTTGATGAAAGATGGACACGGTGTGGGACAATGACAGGCATTGGTATTATCACTAATAGCATCTTTATTAACTCGTATCTGGCAGAGTTGAAAGGAAAAGGTGAGGACTAAGCTCTTTAGTGGTTTTACTTTGCCAATAATGGTTATTGATTTGATTCACAAGCAGCAACCTCTGTGACATTGCAGCATTTATACAGTACCAACAACAGTGTGCAGCAATGAAGTAGAAGAACACAGTCGGATATAATCAAGGAGAAAAACAGAAAAAACAATCTCTGTAACAAAATGTCACATATAATAGAGGTTTACAGTGAGAAGAGGCCCTAACGAAGGAACAATGAACAACAGAAAGACAGAGGGACCATGCTGTCAATAAAACCACAGTACTGACTGTGAGAGAAATAGTTGTAGAGAGGTCCGGTGAATCCATCCTGGGAAGCACCATCTTTCAGTGACAAGAGGAGTGGCTCCAGTTCCTCAGGGGTATATAGACCTGGAACTTCACCTGAAAAATGTCCCCAGGATACATTAGAACTACAACTTAACTACAACTGAGAAAATTCTTGAGTGCATGATCCATATTCAAATGCACATCTCATATATAGTTTATAATTTTAGGAGACACACATTTCTTTCTTCTTCGTGTTCAATGATTACCTGATCTCAACCCAACAAAGCACACTTTTTCAGATGAAACTGAACATTAAAAACAATGCTCATATTTAAAACTTTGGTAGTTTTTCCAGTTACTTTTGAGACTCTGAAAATGAAAAACTGCTCAGAATGAAGCTGGAGTGGGGTATGGTTGGATGGTTACCCTAGCATGAAGTCTGTGAGCAGGAAGAAAATTCTGGTCTGACTAAACCCAAAGGTCAAAACAATTTCTTCTATCAGAACATAAACCCATCTAAAACCATAGTCCAGCTATATATTGCAAATACTGTTTAAGATTTGAGTGTGACAATCGCAGTTTAAACATTAACTCTTAAATGAAGCTACAATTTCTTGAGTCCCAATAACTCACGTTTCTATAAATAAAAAAAATAAGGCAAAAGCATAAATAAACACAACACATACCTGATGACAGCAGGCTGTTCACCATCTCTAAGAAAGCTGGGTGGACAAACTGATAGTCCTCTAATAGTAAAACCACCTGTTGGCCCTCCAGACCTGCCAGCTGCATCACCTAATCACACAGTATCCACACAAATATATTATATAGTGCCATCAGCTGAGATTACATAGTTTATGCTTAAACCTCTGCAAAGTGAGACATCTGTCAACATGTGATAATGGGTACTGATTTAATGCATAAAAATCAACTAAAACGACAGAAAATTATTTTATCAGTAACTATTCACGTTTAATGGTAATTATAGGTGTCACTCAATCTGAAAAAACACACAAATGCTCGACAGGGAGTTCTTCAGAATAGGAACCGTATAGCCTGCAGGATTAGTGTGTAACGTGTGATTATCTCTAAGAGCATTTTGCAAATGCAATTTATTAAAGTATAATGTGAACCAGATAAAGAGATAAAATCTAATAAAGGAAATCCACTTACCGTCTTGAGATCACTGTTGAAATGCTTCAGGGTGTAACCACGGGAGATTTTGGGAGTAAACAACGTGTATCCGTGCATGTGTGACACCAGGCACGTGGCTGTGTGCCGACCCACTCCGCTGAGCCCTGCCAAAAGCAGAGACCCACCAGGTCTGCTTAGGACCCGATCTACCCTGGACACAAAGTCGCACACTTCCCAGAACAGGAGAAGATCCAGCTCTCTGTTATCTCGACTGTACAGCACGACTCCCTAGAGGAAAACGAGGAACAGACACACAGGTGAAGGAGGTACACAGCAGCAAACACAATGAAGTGAAAATAAGAAAACAAAGACAAAGAAATGCAAACACAGAGTGAGACATGACAATGAAAACAGAAGCACAAAAACAGGAGTTTAATAATTTACTAAAGCAAAGTGGCAGTACCATTT